TTCCCCGTCAAATAAAATTTAAGCCTAAATTTTTTTTATTCCAAATAATATACATTTTATCTTTTTAATTATATAAAAAATAATTAAATAAAAAAAAAAAAATACTTAATAAATTCCCCCATTTATAATATAAATATTAGTTTTTTCTTTATTTAACATAAAATTATTTGGTAAATTGTTAAAAATTTCATTATTCCAACATACATTTCCTGAAAAAAAGTTGTCTTTTTTTTATATAAAAATAATTTTATATATTTTTTATAAAAAAAAAATAAAAAAACTTTATTTCCATTCCCATTTAGCTTTTTTAGTTAGATTTTTATTATTTTAAGATTAAAAAATCTACTTTTCTTATTGTTTTTTACTTAAGGAAGCTTCATTTTAATTTTTTTCATTAATTTAATTTTAAAATTATTCTAATATTTTATTTTATTTAGTATAAAAATTTGTAAACTCTTCTATATTAAGTTTATTTTTTATTTTTTATTCCAAATTATACAAATTTAATTAAATATTTTATTAATCTTATTTATAAGTTTAATCTAAAGCATTATCAAAATGTAATTTTTTATCAAGTTTTTCCTCAAGTTATTTTTCTAAAAAAGTTTAAATCTTTTCTTTATTTTCCTAATTACATATCATCTCATATTATTTATATAATGTTTATTCAAATTTTTCATTTGTTTATTTTTAAAAATCTTAAATTTCTTTTATTTTTGTTTCAAAAGCATCTTTTTCAGCTGGTATTTATTATAAAATTAGATTTATTTAACTTTAAATTTATTCAAGCTTTTATTCAGTAACTTTTTATTGAATATTTTGTTATAAATCTTCGTTTATTTTTGTAAATTTATTATTTATTTCAATATTATTATTATGTAAAATATCTTTAATAAATTTATTATTTTCAAAAGCATCATTAATTCTTTATTCATTTGACAATTTAATATTTTCTTTAATGTTTTAAATGTCAAAACTTAGTTTTTATATTGTTTCAGAGATTTTTTAATACTAAATATAAATTTGATTTTCAGAAAATTTTTTTTGATTTTCAAATTAAATTTCTAAATTTTATATTTTTTCGAAAAAATCTCCTCTTTTTTTGTTATAAAAAAATATTAAAATTCATTTTAATATTTTATTTTTTTATATATTAAATATACTTTATAATTTCTTCTTTTTCTTAATATATTTTAATATCTAATTTATTTTAAATATTTTTATAAAGACTTTAAATTTCTTCGAAATCAATTTTTTTTTGATTTCTTAATTTAACAAAAAGTTTTAATTTTCGAATTCATTTTTTAATTATTCTTATTATTTATATATTTCATTTTCTAAATTTTCCATTTTTTTAAAAACAGATTTAATTTCAAACTATATATTTTATATATTTTTTTATTTTTTTTTAAATAAAAAAATTAAAAGTAGAAAAATAATAATATATACTTCTTTATGTTAATCACTAATAATAGTATTTATTGTATTTATAAAGTCACTATTATTAACTTTACTATCTAAAACTTTAATAAATTTTTCAACTGAAAATTTATCAGCTTTACTTTCTAACATAATAATTATATTTTGAATATCTTATATATCTGCTTTTCTACCTTTTTATATATTTATTAATTTTTATTTACATTTATAAAAAAAAAAGGAAATACTTAAAGTTTATTCAATTTCTAGTCTATTTGATTTTTTTTCTAAAATTTATTAAATAGAACTTTTATTTACTTTTTCTTCCATTTATTAATTTATTTCCATCTAATTTGCTTTACTCATTAATTAATTTTTTATATTGTATATTTCTTTTTGAAATATTTGCTTATTTTGCAACATTTCATCGCATATTATATTAAGTTTTTATTAAATATTTTCGATTTTTTACTAATCGAATTAATCATTAAAATACTAAAAATTTTTTCTTAATTATTTATTCTCCTTTTTTTATTTATCGAGAAAAAGAATATAATAAACTTATCTTATTTTATTTTATTTTTTGAAAAAAAAAAAACAAATTACTTATTCATATTAATAAAAAGATTCCTAAAAATTAAATTAAACACTTTTTATATAAAAATATAACTAAATATATAGAATTTATAAACTATATATATACTCTTGTAATTTTTTATCAATTATTTCTAAAGGAAATAAATCTTAATTTTTATTCATTTTTAAATTTAAATCATTAATATGACTTTTTAATTAATTTATCTTTTTTAAAAAATAAATAAATAAATAGTTTTTTGAATTTTAATATTATTTCTTATTTTACGTTATTCATATTTATAAATTCTATTTCTTTGCAATATTAATTTTAATTTCTTATAGTATCTAAAACTGCTCTAAATGAAAATTTAACTATATCTTAAACATCATTCCATTCTTTTTATTTCTAAATAATTATTTACTTTAATATAATAATAATATATTTAAAAAAAAAACATCTAATAATTCTTCTAATAATCTTGGTGTATTAAGAAATTAATTATCTGAATCTGAATAATAATCATTTCTCTGTGTAATTTTAGTTGAAAAATTATTTCCAAGCATATTTTATAATTAATATATAAATATAAGTTTTAATAATAATAAAAAATAATATGATTTTTTTTAATATTTTTTTTTAAATAATTAAGAAAATAAATTAATATTTTAAAATAAAAGAGTATATTTTATATAAAATAATTCAACTATCCTTTTATATATAGAAATTCTTAAATCCTTTTTATAAATATTCTAAAGGTTAGTTAACTTCTAAAATTTAATCTAATAAATTTATAGAAGAATATAAATCATTAATTTCATCTTAAGCTATATTAAAAAAAATAAAAAAAATATATCAATATAAATACATATAAATATATTTATATATTTATATAAATATATATATATATATATATATATATAATAAACCTTTTGATTTTTAAGGAACTACATAATGTTATTTTTTTTTTTACAATTCATAATCATTTAAAATATCTCCTGTTTTACCTATTTTATTTTTATGAATAGTTAATAAAGCCATACTATTAGCAAGTAAATTTTAATTATTATCATTTTAATAATAATTAGATTTATAGCTTTCACTAACCATATTTACAATTTTTTTAATAAACTCAGGTAATTAATGATTATCTTTTTTTTTAATTTATTTGCTTTTATTATTTTTAACTATATTATTTATGTTTTATTAATTATTTATTTTAAAATATTATTCATCTGACATTTTTTTTAAAAGAATGCTATTCGATTAAAGTTTTTTTAATTTTAATTTAAATTTTTAATTTATCGTTTCCTTTATTTTCTTATCTTTTGCTTAATTTAAGCTTCTAGAAGTGTTCAAAATATCTTGTTTCGATTAAGAATATTTAGTATTAACAAATATATCCGATTTTTTATTTTTTTAAATACTGCTATTAATTGTATTTGATATATTTGGTAACTTTAAATTTTTATTTTAAGTTGATTATTGTGATTCTTTTTTATTATTTATTTGTTCTTTATTTTTACGTACATTTTCCAAAAATTATGATTTTCTATCTTTTAAAAGAAATTTTTTTTAAGCTTCCTCAAAAATTAATTCTAAAGATGTTAAGTTTCTTAATAATTTATTTTTTTATTAGCTTTTTATAATATAAATAAATTAAACATATTAAATGATTTTTTTTTTTTTTTCTTTACCAAATAGGTATACATTTTAAATCTTATTAAAATAATTTTTCATTCTTTATTATATATTAATCTATATACTAATTTGTTTTTCTAATAGATACTAAAGGAAATTTATATTCATTTTCTTATTCAATATCATTAATACTTTTTTAAAAATAAAATTTTTAAATGATATTATTATTTTTTTATAAACTCATTCTATTGATTATCTTATATTGGTATTTAGGTTTCCTTTTTTTTTTTTTTTTAATTGTTTTTTTAAATTTTTTGTTTTTATATATACATCTATTTATTCTTATTCTTTTCGAAAATTTAAATCGTTTGTAAATTTTGAATTTTTTTTGTGAGATTATTTTTGTTTGACTTTAATATTATAATATTATTGCTTTTTTTAAAAAAAATTACTTATTTTAAAAATAGAAAATTTATATTAAAGTCTTATATTTGAAAACATTGACATTATTTTTACATTAAATTTTTTATATATAAAAATATTACTAGAGGGGAAATTTCATGTTCAGGTAAATTTTTATTATCATAAAATTCATTTTTTTTACTTAGAACTTATTCAAATATAATATCAATTTTTTCACTTCTATTTCCAACTATTCTTCCTTTTCTTAAAACTTATGACATTTTTTATTAATTTATTATAATTATAAAAACAATATAATTTTTATTGGTTATTAAAAATAATACAATATTTAAAAAAAAATCGAAATAAAATAAAATAATTAATAAAGTTAACAATCGAAATTAAACATAAAATATAAAAATAAAATATTTTTAAAATTTAATATACATAAATAAAAAAGAAATAAAATAATTGCAAATAAATAAAAAAAGAAAAGAATTAATAAATCTTATTAATAAATAAATATTATAATTAAAAAAAATATTATAGATTAATTTAATTAATAATAAAAATAAACAATGAAAATTGACCAAAATTTAATCGTATTTATTACAGGTGCTTCAAGTGGTTTTGGTTTTTAAATAGCTAAAGACTTATTAAAAAAAGGAGTAAAATGTTATTTAACAGATATTAATGAATCGGCTATATAATTACAGACCGAATACGGTATATAACAATCTGCGTATTTAGAAAATTAGATATAACTGACGAAGAGAACGTTAAAAAATGTTTTGAAGAATGCGTAAATATATTTAATGATATTCACGTATGCATTAATAGTGCAGGCATAGTTTAATCGCCTTAGAATATATAAGACCCAGAAAATACACCAGAAAAATTTTATGAAATATTAAAAATAAACATAGTAGGCACATTTATTGTAAATAAACATTCTTCATTATAAATGGTAAAAACTCATAAAAAAAATGATAGAGATAGAGTGATTATTAATTTTGGTAGTGTTGCTTCTACACATAGTAGTTCAGGAATGATTAATTATGGAGCATCAAAAGTATTTAAAAATTTTATTAAATAAAATATATGTGTAAATGTATATAATTAATATATATTTTAATTATTTAAATATAATAATTTTATATAGGGTGGAGTTTTAGGAATGACACTTCCTTTAGCTCGAGAATTGGGGAAGTTTAATATCAGAGTTGTGTGTTTTACTCCTGGAATTTTTTTAACCAATATGGTGGATAAATTAAATTAGATGTTATTTATTACAAACATATAATTATTTATATTAATTTTTTAAAAAAATTGTATATAAAAAAGATAAAAAAATTATTTTGCATAAATAAGTGCATTAGGAAGAAATGGAGATAGTAGAGAATTAAGTTAAGCAGTATAAGGAGCAATCGAAAGTAGCTTTTTAACAGGAACTTTTTTCCATTTAGATAGTACTATAGCATCCCCTCACCATTTGTGATAAGAATAATTAAATAAGAAACATAAAAAAAAAAATTAAATCTAATTTTAATATATTATATTTAATATTATATAAAAATAAAATAATATTTAAATATAAAAATATTTACAGTAGTAACAAAAATGTATAAAAAATTTAAAGATATATACTATAAAAATATAAAATAAAATGTATTTATAATATTATTTAAAACAAAACAAAACTATATATAATTGTAAATGATAATTAAAAAAATATTCAATAATATGTACTTACAAAGAATAAAATAATAATAATTAAATAGAAATAATAATAAAAATATAAATAACAATTATAAAAAAATAATAATAATAATTACAATAATAATGATAATATAATTATAATTATAAAGTTTTTTTTTTACTTTAAAGGATAGATATTATATGATTTATTAAAAATTTAGATACTTTTATTAATTTATGAATTTTTAAAAAAAGATATGTTTTTATTAACATTTACTTTATTTCATTAATAATTAAAAAGTTAAAGTTTTTATATCTTTCTTATATTTTAATGAATATTTTATTTAAAAAAAAAATCGGATAAAAAGAAAATAATGAATTTAATTTTATTAGAAATTAATATAAAAAAAAATAATATCGAAAAATAAAAAATAAAAATTATTTTTTAATTTTATATATATAAATTATTATATAATATAAATAATTTTATATAAAAATTGAAATAATTTTATATTAATAAATATAATATTTAATAATTATAAATATATATATAATATATATAAAAATAAATTTAAATATATTTATATATTAAAATAAAATAAATTTATAAATTTAAATATATTTTTTTTATAAAAAATTGATTAAATTATAAGTAATTTTTTATATAGACATTTTTATTGTTTAATTATCTCTTAATAAAAATCATATATATCTTATATATTATATATACTATGAATATTATATAAACAAATTTTTTAGACATTTTATAATTTAAACATAAAATTAATTTATATATCAAAACGTTTAATTAATATATATTTTATAATTAAAATATTATTAGCAATAACTTAATATATATTCTTATATGTATATAAAATTAAATAGTAGTTATAATATAATATTATATATATTTTATTTAGTAATAATAATTAAAAGATACATCAATAAATTGTATTTAAAAACATATTCTCTTTATCTTATTTGTTTAGTCCTGCTATAAAATAAAGTTTTTATGAATTATTATTTAATTTTGAATTTAATTCATTTATATTCTCCAATAGAAAACCCGAATTTTTTATTTCACTTTACTATAAAGAAAAATGTTTAATATGTTTTACAATTTTTAAATAATTAATTTTATCATCTGTATAATATAAAAGATTTGTTTAAAAGAGATTTTAATCATTTTCATTAATAATTAGATAATATGTTTTTAATTTATTAATATTATTAAAATATACAATATTAATTTTATTATCAAAACAAACTTTCGAATAAGTACTTTTATTACATTAAAAATTAACTTTTTCAACTGTATTTTCTTTACTAAAACAATAAATTTAAAAAGGTACTTTTAAAACCAAAGAAAGTAAATATATCCATTAATTTTTGACTTTTTTCCATTTAAATTTTCTTAATTTTTAACACAAATTATATTTTTTTTATCCTTCTTATTAAAAAAAAATTGCCGAAATTAAATTTTCATCATTATTATTAATAAACTAAAATGCTAATTCTTTAATAATAACCATAAGCGAGATTAAAAAAAGGGGATCATTTTTTATTTACGTAAAAAAAAACTCCAAAAGTTTATTGACACAAAAAAAATTAATAAAATACAATTATAATAAAAATCCTATATTTTTTATAAAACACTTACCCAATTATTCACTACTATATATGTTATTTTCATTCAAAATTATTTTTTTTGTAAAAACACCATAAAAAATATCAAATAACTATACCTATTTTCCTCCTTCATATTCCTTATTTTTTTAACAAGGAAGTTATCTTATTATATTCAAAAAAAAACCTATTGCAGTTAACTTTAAGAAACTATTCGATTCATTTTATAATTATATTATATATTTATTTTTTAAAAAATCCTATGCAAGTTAAGGTTAAATTTAGTTTTCTTGTAAAAATTCGCTTATTGGTTTTATATAATAATAAGGCTCTTCTTTTAGAAATAATTCTTAATTCATTTTAAGTTATTTTGGTTAATTTTTATCTAATGTTAGTTTGTTTTTTTCATGACTTATTTTAGTTATGTACTTGAATATTTTGTCATAGTCTAATGGATTAGATTACATTAATTCTTAATATTAAATCCATTAATTATTAATTTATTTAAAGTTTTTATTTTATATTAATGATATATTGAGAAAATCTGAAAAAAATTCAAATAATATATTTTATGTTTAATATTCCATTTATATTTTATTTATTTTAATATTAATATGCTAAAATAATCCGTTAATTTTAAAAAATATATAATATTGTTAATATAATTTTTATTTTATATTAATATAAATATATATTTCATTAATATTATTTATATATATATATATATATATATATATATATATATATATATATATATATATATATATATATATAACATCATTATTTAAATAAATATGTTTTATAAATTAGATTATATTTTTTTTAGTGTTTTAAAAGGTATTTTATAGTTTTTTTTGTTATAACTTACAATATATAAAAATAAAATATGTATATTCATATTTATTCTAATAATTAATATAAAATATATAATATTAAACAATTATAATATATATATATATTGAATTACAAATTATAATAAGAATTAAAATAATGATAATATAGAAATAAAAAAAAATTCTTATATTCTAATATTAAATTACTTATTTAAAAAATAATATATATATATATTGTTTAATTTTTTAATTAAAAAAAAATAAAAAAAAAATAAATAAATTATTTTATTTTAAAATTAATATTTTATTTTAAAAATATATAAAATAATACATATATATTTATTTATATATAATTTTTATTTCTTCATATTTATTTTTCAATTTTTTATCTATTAATTTATAAATAAACTATCATATTATAAAATTAGTTATTCTTAGTTTCAATTGCTTGTATAAGATAAAGAATTTAAAGAAACATCTATTTTACTTGAAATAAATGATCTTTAAACTCCTGAATCTTAATTTACAAAAGTAAAATCATTTAATTATTTTTATTACGAGTAGTTATTATATATATACATTATTAATATGAAAAATGAATATGACAATCCAACTAATAACATAATATTTTATATTTAAGAAATTTAAAAAATTATTTCTTCTTTTATATTACAATGTTCCATTATTATAATATATTTATTTATAAAATTTATTTATATAAATAATTTTTTATTATATATATATATATATATTTAAATAAAATATTAATAAATGGAATTAAATTTATAATGAATAATTTCTTTATGAAACATTCATTTCTAATTTTTATAAAATATATATATTCATTTTTTATAAATAATAAAAGTTTTTTGGTTTGAATATAAAAATATTATTTAAATCTTTAATTAAAGTTTAATTTAATAGAAAAAATAAATTTATATTAATTATTTTTTTTTAAAAATAAAATAAAATAAAATAAAATATATATATAGATTTATAATGGATTATTATATTTAAATTATAAAACTTTCTTTTAAGTAAATATATAAATAATTTTTTTTTTATAGTAAAATATAAGTAATATTAAATTATAAAAAATTATATTATATTCTTATTTATAATATAAGGAATATTAAATTTTACATAGATTAATAGATAAAAAAAACATTAATAAATTATTAAATACTTTTAATAATAAACTATATTGGTTATTAATATTTATTAATTTATTAAAATATAGATACATAGCTATTAGAAATTAGTTTTAGTAAAATATTATATTTATTTTTAAGCAATTTATATTTATTTAAAATTAAAATAACAAATTTTAAATGAATTTTATTAAAAAATAGGTTTCTATGTGATAATTGGGTATCTTTTTTTAAAGCTTATATATTTAAGCTTTAACAGAATGATATTTTTTTCAAAAGATATTAGATAAAAAAAATAAAAAACTTTAATATTAATTTTTCTAATAAAAAATTAAACGAAATTTTATAATTTAAAAACTTAGTCAATAAGTAAAAAAATTATATATTTTTCATAAAAAATATAAAAAAAACAATGGAATTGTAGATAAATATATATTTAAAAATTAATAAATGAATATTTTTATTTTTATATATATATATATATATTTCATTAATATTTAAACTATTAATTTAAAATTAAATACAATAAAAAATAAGAATAATTATATATATTAATAAAATAAATATATTTTTATAAATTTATTTTATATAGTTTATAAAAATAATATATTAAATAATCCCAATAGAAATTAATATTATATTATTTATAGTTAATTTTAAGTGCGTTCTAGATTAATAATAATAATAATAATATAAGTAATTTATATAGAAAGAAGAAAATATTAAAAAAATATCAAAACATTAAAATTTAAATATTAAATAAAAAATTTAAATTAATTAATTAAAAGAAAATTAGAAGAAAAAAAAAAAAAAAAGAAATATCTTTAAAAGACAAGATAGTTCATATTTAATTTATCGTATTAAAACAAGAAAACTTAAAAAAATACTTATTATAAATAATAAACAAATAAAAAAAACTTAATTTATTACTTAAACCCATAAATTATCTTTTTAAAAAAACATATACATATTACTAACCCTATCAATATTAATAACATTTATAAAATTTAAAATATAATATAAAATAATCATGTAAGATTTTAAAGAATAATAAGAAATTAATATTTCTTCTTAAGAAGAACCTATTTCATAAATAAGCTAAAATACTTTCTTTAAAAAAGAAAATAACAATACAACAATTGAAAAAAATGAAAAAAATTAAATAAAGAAAAATAATTAAAAAAATTTTTTAAGATTAACCGAGAACCTAGAACAAGGATAATTTCTTAGATAGAGAACAAAAAAAATCTAATAATAAATAATTATTATGGAAAGAATGGAAAGAGAAAATCAAAAAAAGTAAAATCTTTTTTATTATATATATAATTAAAAAAAAATAATCTCATTTTATAAAAATTTGAATAAATTTATACTTTAATATTAATTAACTTTTAAATTTTTATTTAAAAAAATACAAATTATGATAATATACTTTTAAGTATATAATTTTTTTAAAAAAACAAAATATACATAAATTTACAAATATCGTCTAATTATATTAATATATTAATATAAATAAATGATAAAAAATTAAATCTATATATATATGTATATGTAAATATTTATATATTTATATATATATTCATATTTTTAAATTATTCATTAGTCATTTATCTTTTTAATTTATTTTTTTAAACTATATATATAAAAATATATTTATTTATATAGATTTATTTTAAATTTTATTTTTTCTAAAAAAAATTAAAATAAAAAATATTTAAAAAGATAAGAATTAATAAATAATTTTTTTTAAAAAATATGTATATATTATAAAATGAGAGATAATTCAAAGATAATAAAAAAGAATGTAAATATAAAATATATTTATATTAAAAAAAATAAACATTTTTCTAATCCCATAAATATTAAAAAACATAAACATTTATAAATATATTTATAATATAAAAAAAATAGTAAAAATAAAACATTTTAAGAAACAAAAGCAACGCTTTTGAAACATCTCAAGAGAATGACTTTTATTAATAATAATCTTATAGTAATCCTATATAAAGAGTCTAAAAGTCTGAAACAAATAATTAATAAATTATAAATGAAAATAATAATATTGTAATAACTATATCTGACAATGTAAGTGATAGTTAAAATTCATAAGAAATTACAAAAAAGGAATTTACTAATGAAAATATAATTATAATAAACGAAAATAAGCCAGTGCTAATTGAAGAAAATAACAATAATATTGATAAATCTTTAGACATATCAGATAAAAGTTATGATTAGAAAACTAAAAAGCCCAAAAAGGAAAAAAAAAAAACATGATGTTGAAATTCTAAGATTAATTATAAAAAATTAGTAAAAAAGAAATAAAAAAAAGAAAAAAGACATTGAATAATAACAAACAATAAATGAACAAAAAATAATTGACTAAAACTCTAATAATAGTTTTAATATAAATAAAAACGCTTTATTGATATAATAGAAGTTAAAAAAAGGACCAATTAATACTAAAATATTTGAAGATTAACATTAATTATTTCTAAGACTAAATGATTATTAAGAAAATCATGGTAAAATAAAAGAAGAATTTTATGAAAAAATACAAGATGACTTAAATGAAAGTATCCATAGTAGCACTAATTCTGTATCTGGGTTAAATTCTTTATGTTTAAATATAGGAAATTAAAATTTTAATAAAATGTAGATCGCTTTTAAAGGAAATTAATAAGAAAATTAATAAAAAAGTAAATCAAAAATAAGAAAAATTACAGATTAAAATATAATTGATAAAACTTTTATTATATAAGATACAATATAGAAAAAATTCCAAAGTTAATAAAATAATTTCAAAGAACCTTTTTCGGTTTTACATAAAGATTTTTCGAATAATTATTTAGATAAATAATATTTTGATTAAATACTATGCTTTTATTAATTATAAGAAAAACTAAAAAGTTGTTCGGAAAATAATAATGTGGATGGACAAATTGAATATTGAAAATTAAATTTTTTTTTTTTTTTTTTTTTTTAAAATAAAAATATAAGTGTTAATCATTATAATGTATTTTTTAAAAAAATAAATTATCAATATTTATTAATATTATTATAAAACTTTATATATATAATTTTATTTTAATTAAATTACGAGATTTATAGTTTAAGTTAAAAAATGTAAAAAAATAGTTTATATATTTATATATATATATATATATATATATTTTTATATTTACATATGATTAATTATATAATCATATTATAAAAAATCAATATAATTCAAAAAGAAATTAAAATACATTTGAAATTAATTCAAAAAACTTTATTTTTTAATGGAGATTAACTTCTACATTTTTTAGTATATTTTATAGAATTAAAATTACTTTATAAATATCTTAAATTACTTTCTTCGAAATTTTCCTTTAAAAAATTCTATAAAATCTATACAGAACATTTATATTTTGGATCAATAATAAAAAATAAGAAAATAAACATCATATTATTATTCAAAAAACCTACATTTATACACGATTTATTACTGTCGCACATTATTTAATATCTAAAATCATTATTTTATATAAAATAAGCATGAACATTCCATTTTCTTGCTCCATTATTGACCAAAATTTAATTAGGTAAATTTTAAAATAATCTATTTTACACAAAAACTCTTTTTAGATAAATTAATTCTTCTATGTTTTTACCTATAACCTGTTTTTCTCCATAAAAAATATTATCCCTATATATAAAATCTTTAATGAAATATTTTCTAACTAAAAGATTATCTTCAGTATCTTTTTCTGAATGCATTCCGATATTTCCTATTTTATTTTTTTCCCAAAAAACATCCCCAGTTGAATTTTCGATTAAATAACTTTCATCCTAAAATGAATTTTCTTTTTAATATTTTTTTATTATTTTAACTTTTTTAAATTCATCTATTATTACTTAAGATGATAAATATATTATTATATTTGATATTCCTCCACTTATACATGTCTTCTTTTTATAAAAAATACACATTTTTATGAAAATTTGAAGTTCTAGATGTTCCCATGGATTTAAATTAGGATCTGATTCCATTAATATATAATCTATTATTAAAAAAAAATTGAGTCCTTTTTAATTGTTTTGATATTTTGTGTTTGGGAAATATAATATTTCGTTTAAATTTTTTGAGTTTTTAATATATATTTAGTAATCTTCTAATTAATTTGGAATATTTTTTATAAGCTTTTTTTGTTTAAAAAAATAATCAAATAAACAAAACATTTAGAATCAAAAAAAGTTTACTTATTTAACTGTATTTTCATAAGATTTTCTTTTAATTTATGATTCATGAAAACATACAATTAAATAAATCATTTTTTTTTTTTTTTTTTTTTGGAAAAATTTATTTTATTTTTTTAAACAAAAAAAAAATTAAATTTTTTTTTTTTTTTTTTTTTCAAGTTTTTCTTTAAATATTAGATTTTAAATAACTGTCATTTAATTTTATTTATTAACTTTTTTCATTAATTTCTATATTTTCCACTTATTCAAATTCTAATTCTTCAATACTTTTTATTTTTTTTCCATATTCGAAAATACCATATTTAATAATTCCATTTTTATATATATATTTTCCTTTCCCATGTTATTTACCATAAGCCCATTAACCTTAATATGTTTTATCTTTTTTTTTTTTAATAAAAAAATTTAAATATAAAAAATAAAATAAATACCTTTCCATTAATATATACCATAACCATGTTTTTTATCATTAAAATAATTTCCTTCAAAAAACATTTCATTATTCCATATAAATTTACCTTTCCCATGCATATTATTATAATTCCAATATCCTATTATTTATATTTTATTTTAATAAATAAATTAAAAAAACCTTTATATTATTTTCCATCAGACCATAAATAAGTTCCCTTTATTTTATAATATTAATATTAATATAATAATAATAATATATATATATATATATATATATATATATATATATATATATATATTTATAATAAATATACATATCCATGTAAATAATTATATTGCCATTCTCCTTCATAAATTGATCCATCTACCCATTAAAATTTTCCTTTTCCATTTTTTTTACCTTAAAAAAATTCTCCTTCATATTTTGAACCATCTGATCTGAGTTTTTAATATTATTCTTATAAATCATTTATATAATTTTTTTATTTTTTACAATATTTCAATTCCTTTACCTTCCTATAATCCGTTTTTCCATTCTCCTTTATAGACTTCTTCGTTTAAACGTTTTAAGATTCCAAATTAACTAAATTATCCATTACTCCAATTACCTAAATAAATATATTTTGAATAAAATCATTAAGTCTAATATAATAATAATCATAAATAAAAGAAATACCTTCATAAGTATCTCCATTTATAAATATCAATTTTCCGTTTCCGTTTTAAATATTATTTTTCCATTGCCCTTTTATCAATTTTTTTATTTTTAAAAAGTTTATTTATACCTTCATATTTTTAACCATTTGGCCTTTTTTTCAAAAATAAAAAAAATAAAAAAAAAAAAATTAAATAATATAATTTTAACCATGTTTATATACCAAAGCCTTCCTTTTAATCTCCGTTCCATTATCCTTCATATACTACTCCATTTTTAAATGTGATTGCATTTTTTTATATTAGATATTATTTTTTATCGGAATTTTCTATTGCTTTTTTATCTGAACTTTCTAAAGATTTTTTATCTGAATTTTATAATTATTTTTATATTATTAAAGATAAACTAAGAGAATCAAGGGCCTTGTTTTCTTAAAGTACAATTTAGTTTGAATCTTATGAAATTTAAATTAAACTATTTATGTTATTTTCACTTTTTTTGGTATTTTTTTAAATAAATTTACTTTTTTACAATTAATTTATTATTTATATTTTTTTAATAAATCTAACTTTGTCTTTAAGAATTTGGTTTTTGTACATTTTATTGTGATTATTTTTAATTTTCTAAACATAAATTATATGTACAATCATTTAAGTTTCCCATTAATATTTTATTTAACTATAAAAAAAATAAATATTTATTTTATTAATATTTTGCGTATATAGTAATTTAAAAACAATTAATTTTTGTGTAATTTTAATTTTAATTGATTAATGGTTTTATTTAATTATATATTTGTAATAAAGTATTATTATTTATAGTTGATCTATTAATTTAAAAATAAGAATTAAAATAGATATTGGTATTTTATTATAATTAAATATATAATATTATTATATAATATAAAAACAAATTATTTTTTTATTTTTAATCAAATAAAAATAATTATTAATATTATAAAATTTATAATATGGAAATATACAGAAAAATTTACTTCATAATTTCATATTTTTTTTATTTCTATATAAATAAATAAGACTAAACATAAATATATCACTTTTTTTTTAAAAAAATCATATAATAATATATAATACTAAAACATTTTTTTTCTTTTACACTATATATGCATAATTTTTTTCTTAAGGATATATATTCCAGAGTAGTATTATGACTATAAGGGATAATATAAAAATGGATTTTATACATATAATAAAGATAGTAATTAATCATATTTTATGATAATTTTAGTATTTAATGTTGCAGTAGTTCTGACGTAATAAAAATTTAGAAAGTAAAAATAAATAGTTAATATCGATTAGTTTAAAATTATTATATATAATTTTATTAATATTATTTGTCTTTATATTTAAAAACAATATTTTTTTAATTATTCATTTTTTTAACAAAATAATATATTTATATAGTTTTAGAAATAGTATATTTTGATGAATTTGTAATATACTTTTGTTTTTTATAGTCTAACAAAATAAAAATGTTTTTTATTTTAATAATAACTAAAATTTTTAACAAACAAACAAAAAATTAATAAAAAATCTAATATTAAAATTAAAAATATTTTTAAAAAAAAAATGGTTTTTCCAAGAAAATATCAAAAAAATAATATTTTTAAATAAATGTTTAATAAAATAAATATTTTAATATGATAAAATATATTATTAAATATTTATATAACTCTATGTTCATTTTAAAACATATTTTAAAGTTATTAATAACAATTTTGTATATTATTATAATTTTTAATAATATAATATATTAGTTGTTATTAGAAAAAGAACAAAAATTCATAAAAAAACCAATATTATTATATTAAGATAATATTAATGTTTTATTTTTATAATAATTGAACATAATTATAAATTAATCAGAAATATATGAAAGAAATAATATAAAAATAATTGAAAAAACTACGAATTTTTTATTAAAAAATTGGATATATGTTCATTAAAATTAATATTAATAATAAATAAAAAACTTTTTATATTTTAGAATTTTCGAATAATAAAATCATAAAGCCATCCATAAAGTTTCAATATATATTTTTAAAGTTAATTTCTTAATTTTATATATAAATTATATCTATACTTTTTTAATATTCTATAATGGTTTATTGTCTCTATAAAAAAAACAATTAAATAATTCTTTTATTTAAAATAAAATAAACCCTTTAAAGACTTATTAATTTTTTTTTCATATATTGGTTAATCTATTTTTTAGTAAAAATATGATATAATTATAGGAATTAAATATATGGAATATTTAATAGAAAATGGACTAATTGAATAAAAAACAACAAAATTATATATAGTAAAAAAAACTTATTAAAATAATTATATAATTTTTTTGTAATATTATACATTAATTTTTAAATTTCTATGTATTTATCAAAATACTATTTATATATATATTACTTATAATAAATAATAAGTTTATAATTATAAAATATTATTCATTATATATATTTAAAATAAATATTCTATATACCTTTTTATTTATTTTGTTCATACTTATATATTTTACATATATATGTTTTCTAATTGTTTTTGCTTTTTTTTAAAATATCAAATATAAAAAAAAAATTAATAATATTTTTTTATTTTTCTTTTCCATATTATATTAAAAATAATCTCCTCAAAAACCTATATGCGTAGCTATAATATTAGATTAAAATATTCAAATGAAAAAGTTAAATAAGGAATATTTGTCAATAAAATTATATAATAGAAATAAGGAACTTTTTATCCAAATTCATTTGTTACAAATAAAAATATGAAAATAAAATTAAATATAAAAATAAGATTTTAAATCTGTAATTTCTTTTTTTTTAAAATGGATTAAATAAATACATATAAATTTTTAAAAAATTAAATAGTAAAAGTAATAATTTTTTCGTTATATTCTTTATACTAATAATTAATAAATTTCTAAAGGATTATTGATATATTTTTAATTTTAATAAACTTTAAGAAAGTTTCCTAATAATTAGTTTAAATCTTATAATCTTCAAATACTTTCTTTAATTCGATAATTTTTTTAATACTTTAAAAAAATTAATTGTATGTGTAATTTTTTTTATTATATAAATTTTGTGCTTTTAAAGGGTTACCTTTGTTTTTAAATATATTTTTTAATAATCAATTCCAAACAATTTATAAGTCGAAAAAAAGGACTCTACTTTAATAACTTAGTTCATCTTTATTCCTTATTTAATTTTTAGAAATTCACTTCGAAATAGGAATCCTTAAATATTTTAATATAATTTATTTTTTCTTTTTAATTTCATAAAAATTATATTTCTTACAATTTTTTGTTCATTATATTCTTATTTTAACCTTATTTTAAGAGAGTTATATTTTTTATTATTACACTTTTTTCTTGAAAAATCTTATTTTTATAAATATATTACAATTTACAATACATTTCCTATTTTTATTAAATTGAAAATTAAATTTTAATTTAAATGTCAATTTTACTTTAGTAGAGTTTTATGTTTTCTACTTAAAAAAATCAGTTAATAATATAAACTATACATTTATCAGTAAAAACTTAATCATAAAAAATACATATTTTTGAAATCTAATTGGATAAATTTAGCTTTATATTTACACTTTTTATGTCTTTAATACTTATTTATTAATTTTATTCAGATTTATTCTTATTTGAATCTTCTTTGTAGTAATTATAACTATTTCTAATGCAATAGTCATAAAAAATGATCAGTATCTAACTTTACAATTGAGTAAAATATTATTTTAAAAATTTTATAAAAAAAATACATAAAAAAAACATTAAAAAAATAATTTAAAACTAATTTAAAGTATAAATAAAATATTTTTATTATTATAAATAAAAACAAAATTTAAAAGATATTCTCGTAACTATATATATATATATATATATATATATATATATAAATATATATATTATATATTTTATTTTATATATAATAAATTATATTATTTATAAAAAAGCAATAATACCATCAAAATAATTCGTCTAAAAATTAGAAATACTCCGAACAATTTATATGTCCTTCCTATAAGCAATTTAAGCATTTTATATTTTGATAATTCTCATCATTTTTATCTATAATAATTTAATTTCTTTCATTAAAATATTATTAAATAACACCACAATCTTAAATATGTCCACTTTTTTTACAAAAAAACATGTTTTTTTGCCATAATTTTCACAGTTAATTTTCTCATGTCCTATATTTCCACATTTAAAGCAAACTTTTTGGTCACAACTTTTATTTTGATGTTGCCCTAGACAATTAATACATTATATTTTTTAGTTAAATTATAAACAAGTATTTCTTATATGTCCTTATTTTCCACAATTAAAGCATATCTGCCCTTTTTTATCAAAAAAATATCTGTTTGTGTTCATCATTTATCCATATTCGATATTTATTTCCTCATTTTCTTCCGTTTCTATACTTTGTTCTTCGTTATTTTCCTATAATTGAAGTATTTTTTTCACTAAATTAAGATCTTGAGATACACAGCGTTTGCTTTCTCCTAATTTATTGTAAAATAAAACTTAAGAATTAGATGTATCGTAATTTTTGGTATTCTCAAAGGATGTAATATCTTAGAAATAATTAATTATTTTAGGCTTTACCTATATATTTTCTTATTATTGATTTTTTTTGGCAAATAATAATATATTTAGCTAGTTTTGTTATTTTAAAAATATTCTGGGGAATTTTTTTAATTTTCATCTTTGCTGAAATTTTCATATTTTGATAAATTTTCTTCTTTTCTAAAATTTTCTTCCTTTTTTATGTTTTCTTCCTTTTTTTTTATTTCTATTTTTTTTTAATTTTCATATTTTTTCGAATATTCTTCTTTTTGTAAATTTTCGGCTTTTTTAAAATTTTCATCTTTTTATATACTTTCTATATTTTTTTTTATATAAATTTATTTTCTTTCAAATTTTTTTTTAAACTTTTTTATTTTATTTTTTACAATATTGTTGCTACTTTTTTCGATTTTCTTATATTAATTGAAATATTAATGCTTTTTGTAATTCTAGCTATTTTTTTAAATTAAATGTTTATTATTTATTATTTTTAATTTTAGTTAATTATTTTATATAAAATTATTAAAAAATTATAGATTAATGTATTTATTAATTATTAGTCATAATATATATTGCTTTATATATATATTTACAGGTAATTCCATTTTAAATATACAAAATTATTTATAAAATGAATGAAATTATAAAATTCTTCTTTTATATTTTTTTTTTTTTTTCCAAATTAATTTATCTAATAAAATAATAAATAAGATATTATTAATAGTTTTTTTTTTTTTTTTAAATTATAATCTTTAAATTTTTTTCATTTGACTTTATATTGCAGTTTTTTAAATTTAAATAAATAAAAAAAAATATTACTTTTTTTTTAAAAATATGTTAGTTTCACAAAAAAAAATATACGCTTTATATGAAATAGAAAACATTAATTATAATTTATATTAATATATTATTATTGTATTATATATATATAAAAAAGGATATTCAGTATATATTGAAATAAACTTTTTATTTAATATTCAAATTCACAATTTTATTTATACTAAATTTAATCATAAATAAATATTTTTTAATAGTAATGTTTGATATGTATATAAATATAAAAACTATAATTACTAATTTATTATAGTTTACACTAATAAGAAAAATTGTATATATATATATATATATATATATATATATATTATAATAAATAATTATTTTTTTTTTTAATTTTTGAAATAAAAAAAATACTTATATTTATCAAAAAATATCATAAAAATAAATAATTAATTCACAAATAGAAAAATTTTGAGGATATTTTTGATTAAAGAAACAATATTATATTTAGATATAAATATGAAAAAAATAAAAAAAATTCAATAAAAAAAAAAAAAAAAATGATACAAATAATAAAAAGCCTAAATTAAAATTTCGAAAAAAGATATATTAATAAAAAGAAAAAACTAAAATAAAATAAAATATATAAATAAATAAATATATATATATATATATAAATATAAATTATTTATATTTCATATTTATCTTATTTTTTTTACTAAAATATATATTTCTACAAATCATTTATTTTTTTTAAGTTTTTCAATATTTTCTTTATAAATACTCTTAGTTCTTCTTTCATATTCTTCTTTTTCGAATTTCATTTTATTTTTATAAGTAATGAAATTTATCATCATAGCAATTCCAATTAAAATTAAAAAATAATTTATTAAAATAAACGATCCTACAGTTTTATAAATATAATTCGGGTATCTTTTTTCACCTACACCAACATAAACTCCATATATATAACTTATTTACCCTACCATAACTAATAATAATGAATATGGATGTAATTAACTAGAATATATTAATCCTGTTGTTAATAATCCTAAATTTAAAGGAGCATAAAAATAAGAATATTTTTCTTTTTAATTTATCGCATAAGCCATATAAAGACCTCCTATTAATGAATAATTTATACATGTTATATCTACAAACATTTATAAAAAATAAGAGTTTTATAGTGTAAAATATTCATGAGTAAAAGATCCTAATAAGGCTAACGCTTGGGGTACTTAAATTAAATATAAACATTTTTTTAATAAAGGTGGGACTTCTACTTAAAATTGTTCTAAACCTTCTATAGTCATTTCTATTTCTCCTTTTTATAAGTCTTATTGGTATTTTTCAAGTTTTAGGCTTTATCGTTGCTTGTATTTTTTTTACTCTAATGAATAATTTGCTTTTATTTTAAAATTTTGGTAAATTAAGGGAAGTTATTTTTTATTTTTTAAATTGTATAACGATAGTATTCTTATCATATTTTTTTTTATATTTTTAGATATTAAATTATATTATATATATATATATATATATCTAAAAAAAAATTAATAGCATTTATTTATATTTTTATCTGTTAAAATAAAATTAAAAATAAAAAAATGAATTTAGAATAAGAAAAAGATAGGAATAAAATAAACAGTTAATTAGTTATTATAAAAATAAAAAAAGTAAAAGTTAAGTTTTGGCTTAAAAAAAAAAAGAAATAATGATAATTCTAAAAAATAAAAATGAATGTTTTAATAAATAGATTAAAGTATATTTTTATCTAATACTTTTTTAAAAAAAATCAAAGAATAATTTTATATAGTTTAAGTAAATAAAATATAATTTGAATAGTTTATAAAATTTAATTTATGAAATATAAAATAAATACAAATTATTAAATTACTCCTAGAAATATAAATAATTTTTAGTATTATTATTTGAAAAATTAAAATATTATATATATAAAATAATATCATTAAGAATAAAAAAATTTATTTAAATCTTATATTTAGATAATTAAATAAAAATAAACTTAATCTTTATTTAATTAAAAAATAAAAAAACTTATATATTTTTTATAGTCGAAAGATTTTTTTTTTAAGGATATAGAAAATTTAGAAACAAAAAATGTTAAATTTTAATTTAAGAAAATGATTTAAAGTAAATTTTAAAAACGTAAAAATGTTTTTTGGGAACTATATTATAGAGAATTTTAAAAATACTTTTTTTCTTATTAATGGAGTCGGTAGTTTAATATTTTAAAATGCTCAAAATCTTATCGTAAAATTATTTTAAGGTAATTAATGTCCATGAAAAAAGAAAAATGATTTATATAAATTTAATGGCGATATATTATATATAGAGGACAAGAAAATTATTTTTATATATAATTGAAAATATACAATCTAATTTATCTTATATATGTTAAGACAATAATAAATATAATATTTATATTTAATAAATATTTTTTTTTTTTTTAAATTAAATTAATAATTTTTTTTATAATTTTTAATAAAAACATATTTATATATATTTATATATTTTTTAAAAAAAATAAATAAATATTAACTTTTTATACTTAAAAAATATTATAATGTCCTAAGTTTTTTTAGTCGAAATTATTTTAAATAAATTATTAATTAATGTGAACTTTGAAAATAGTATTATTTTTGTTATTCTTAAAGTAGGTGGGTATATATATATAATTAATAATTATTTTTTTATACCAAAAAACAAAAAAAGATCAATAAAAATATGAACTATAAAATTCATTTTTATTAAAATAAAAAAAAGTGGATTTTTAAAAATAAATATTTTAAATAGAAACATATTTAACTTTAGATGAACAAAAGAATATATTTTAATGCAAAAAAGTTTATATTTTTTAAAAATTATAAAAATTTTAATTTATAAAAAAAAGTTTGAAATATTAATAAATATAAATCATGATTAATTATATAAACTAGCCGGGAAAATAGAATTCGATATTTCTAATTATATAAACAATTAAATATATTATTAATAAGAAAAAAAAACACTTCTTAAATGTCCAGATAAATCTGCTAAGTTAAATTTTGATATAAAAATTGTTTAAATAAAATGTTTAGAATGTAATATATAAACATATATAGATTTTTAATATATATATATATAAATATTTTTTTTTATAAAAAAAGAAAGATTTATAAAAATAAAAATTATTAGAAGAACTATAATAAAAAAATTAAAATTTATAGGAAATAATATATTAATAAAATTAAAAAATAAACTAATAATAAATAGATATTGGAAAAATTATATATGAAAATTAAGAAATTATAAAAAAAATGCATTAAAATGATATTTTTTTGAAAGAAAAAATTACAAAAATTTAAGAATTAGAAGAAAATTTATTAAAAATTTAAGTAAAAAAATATAAAAAAAAAAAAAATTAAAAAAAAAAAAGGTCGAAAGAAGAAATATAGAAATTTAAAGAGATTTTTATAAAAGAATTTCATTTTAAAAAGAAGAACAAGCATTTTATTAAAAAAACAATATAAATATTTTAGAAAAATAACTAGTTATATGTAAATAAAATTTGTCTGAAATAATAAACTGTATTCTTTTATAACAAAATAATGATCTAATCGAATAAATAGAACCCTTTTATTAAAATGAAATAGAAAAAAATAATATATATAAACAATAAATAATAGAAAATAATTAAATATTTGAATAATATATACTTAGTAGCTAAGAAAGAACAAATGATTTTAGTTTTGAAAAGAATTATATATAAAACAAATTAAATAATAGTAATATTATATGAGTTTTTTATAAATTATATTATATTATAATTAATTTTTAATTCTTATTTTCAGTAATCTATTAATTTTGGGTTTTACGAAAACCTATATTTATATTTTATTCATTTTATTATTCGTTTATTTTTATTACATTTTAAGATTATATTATTTAAAAATTTAATATTTTCTCTCTATAGATTTTTTTACTAATTTAGTAAATTAAATATAAATTTAAATACTTATTGGTTAAATAGGTAATTATATAATGGCATATTATTATTTATCTTAACTATATTTATGTGAAAACGATTTATTATTATTATTATTATTAGTATTTTCACTTTTAGCTTTTTATATTTTCAAACTATTAATTGCTATTTCTTTAATCCATAAGATTGTATTTGTGATTAATGTTTTTTTTATTTAAAAATTTTAAGGTATTTTTTCTTTTAAATTAATTATTTTTTAAAATCTTTTTACTGCTTCTAATTTTATTTGCCTTTATATGATATTTTTTAAGTAATTAACATTTAAATAAATATATTAATAAAATGTATTTATAGTATATTATAAAATAAATATTTAATAATTTAAAAGTGTTTTTAAATATTAATTTAAATAATTATTTTTATGGAAGTATTTTTTTTTATTTGATAATATTAAACATTAACTAAATTTTATATTAAAAATAAATTTTTGAAAATATAAAAAATATATAATATATTTATTCTTTAAATAAAAAAATAATAACTATAATCAAAAAATTTTAACTTTCTTTTTTCCTTTATCCAAAAACTTGTTTTTTAATTCTTCGATATCTTGATTTTAAGTAAATTACTAATCTTTTTTTTTCTTTTTTTAATTTTCTTTTTCGATTTCTTTATTAATTTCAGGAGCTTCATAAAGTTTCGATTTTTAGTCCATTTTTTATTAAATTTTGTTTTCTTATTTAATGATTTTTTACTTTAAATTATTTTATTTTTTTTCACTTTCTTTTAAAAAATATTCACCAGTTTAAATCTCAATATCTATTTTTCTAAAAAAAAATATTATTTAATTATATATATTTATTATCTTATATATAATTTTAAATAAATTAAATTAATATTATTTATTATTATTATTATAATAAAACCTTGGTTATTATTCTGGTGGAAAAGGCGTATATTCCTTTTTTTGAACTTTTTATTTTTTTTATTTTTTCTTAGCATTAATTTTTTTAAACTATGGCAAGAATCTATCCCAGTTTTCATCTTTAAGTTTATCATCTTTCATAAGTTCTTTTTTAATCATTAATTCTTTAATATTATAAATTGGATGGATATTATGCATTGTATCTTCAATAATTCTTCTCAAAACCTTTAATTATTTCCATCCTCCTATACAACTAACAGTACTTCCTTATACCATAATATAGCATTCTGTCAATAATTCGAGAGCTTTTAATGTTTGTCCATTAGGTCCAATTAATCTTTACCTTCTTTTGATAAATTTTTCTTTATTTCTTACTAAATTTCGTATTTTTACTACGTCAGAAAAAACTCCATCTTCCATAACTCTTAAAGCCTATATATAGAATAATTATATATGTTTTATTAGAAATATATATATATATATATTTTGTATTCAACTTGCTAAAACGGAACTGATCTTGCTAGTAATTTTATACAATCTCTTGCTTTTATTATTGCGTAAGGATCCCATGTTTTTTTTGTTGTTCTTACTGTTATTGAACCTTCGGTAAGGTTTAAATCTGCTTTTATTCCGTAATCATTCAGTGTCTTTTTTATATTACCAAAACTCTCTTGTATATATTTTTCTCTGTATTATGGGAATAATGTAGCAAAAGATGATTCTTCAGATAATGTATAGGGCATATCACCTTTTTTAAATTCTTCGATTTTCCATTTGTCAAGGGTTGGGTCATTGTCCCAAGGTTTGTCTTTTCTGTATTTATTTTTTTTTGATTTTGTTTCTTATTATTATTATTGAAGTTCCATGTGTTTAATATTTTTTTTTAATTTTAATTTAATTATATTTTTATATTAATATTATTTATTCTTTTTTATTTGTTTATAGTTTATATTTATAATATTATTTATTTTTTGTAGAATTTTTAAGAAAAATATATAATTTATTCAATATGCTTTGTATCAAAAATTGATATAAAAAATTTATAAAATATATATTAAAAAAATATATATAAAAAATATATATATAAACTTATTATTTTTATAATAAAAAATAATGTTTTTTCTAATTATAATATAAATATATTATAATATTTTAAAAAGATCTTAAAAAATTATTTTATAAATAAAAAAAAAAATATATGCATAAAAATAAAGATTATATGATTTAATAAAATAAAATAGGGTTATAATAATTAAAAATAAAAAAATCATATTAATTAATAAAATATAAAACAAAAAACATAGTTACAAAAGATAAAAAAATTGTATATAAGATTTGTTTAAGAATATTATTAAAATACTAATCTATCATAAATTAAATAAAAAATATAATATTAAAGTAAAAAATATTAAATAATAATGTATTGATATTTAATTTTTTAAAAAGTGTATTTCTTATTATTATCAATTTTTGTTTTATATTTAGTATAAATAAAGGATTAAAAAAAATGTAAATATTTGATTTAAATATAAAAGTATATATATGAATATATACATATATAAATATATATAAATATATATATTTACATAAATTTAAATTTTATTTTTTACTCATATTTATTCAATATCTTTTTTATTTTCGATTTATTTTTTTATATATTAATCAAATTTTTATAAATATTATTCTCTATCCATTAAAGATTCTACGAATTCCTACTAATTTTAGCAATTAATTTCTGCAATATAATGATATTCATCTTCTGGAAAAAGAGAAAGTTTATAAGGAATATAAATCCAATTTTTATTAACCTTTTTTTAATTAAATTCATATTTATAAACATTTTTTTAAAAAACTTTTAATATTTCAGTTTCAAAAGGGGAAAACATTTCTGCCTCATAATGTTATCCTATTAAATAAGCATATCTTTATCCTTTTCTTAAATGAGTTCCTACTGGTAATTATACAACTTTTGCTAAAATTCCTATTATGTCTATTCCTAATTATGTTAATCCTACTTTTGCAGTCTTTTTATTTTTTTTAAATATAATTTTATTTGATTTTTTTTTCTACTTATCTTTCATAATCATAATCAATCCAATCATGATCTTTTGTATATTTTCTTATTGCTTAAATAATTTTATTGAACTTATTTTATAATATAATATTATAGTTTACAATGTTTATAAATTAATTATTAGTTTATCTTTTTAAATTAATGAATATATTTTTATATTGTTTAAAATTATAAGGAAATCATTTTTTATATAAAAAAAAAAAAATATATCTATAATTTAAATATATAAATTATAAATATTTATAAAATACAATTGATATTTATAAGTTATTAAATATATAAAATGAATATTATAAAAAAAAATATATATACAAATACATATATATATATATATATATATATTTATATATATATATTTATTATTTTATTAATATATATTAAAAGACAATTTTTTTAAATATTTTAAAATAAGGTTTTTAATATATAAAAATGTTTATTTCAATAAAATTATCTGTGTTTTTATTCAATTTTTATCTTAATTGAAATCCTTATCATATGCTCTATTAATATTTTATTTTTCAAGATCTTAAAGAATTACCATATCTTTAATATTTTTAGTTTCCGAATATACATAATAAAACACTAAAATAGTGATTATATATAATATTCCTACAATAAAATTTTTAACTTAACTTCTTTATTCTTCAATATTCGAAATATTAAATGTCGATCCTATAAAGCAAAATAGGAAAGACTATAAAATTTAGATAAATCCGAATATTCCTACTGTATATTAAATTTTAAATTTAAAAATAGGTAAACTATAATTCTTTATAAACATAGGAATTTATACTATAGCGAGTAAAAAAACCGATTTTTTTTCATTTTATTTACTCATTATATATATAGCCTTTAAATATATATTATTTTCAATTTTTTTCATCATATATGATTTCATAAACCTTTCTGAAATCCAAAAACTTATAAAAATTCCAAATATTTTACCAAAAACTGCTATTGATACTGCTTTAAAATATTACTTTAAAACACATCCTAAAGCCAATTCAAAAAATAAAATAGGTGCGCCTACTAAAATTATTATTGTAGCAAAAAAAAGAAGAAGAAAATAAACAAAAACATCCACTTCTTAATATTTTTTTAAAAAGTTTATTATTATTTCTTTAAATTAAGATGTTAAATATTAAAATATAATTATTATTAAAATTAAAAATGCTATATAAATATAGTTTTTTCTTATAAATTCCCTTATTTATTTCATTTTGTTTTAATTTATTTTTTAAACTTTTTTCTTCTTCTAAGTATTACTATTATTATTTAATTAAATATTTTAAATATTAATTAAAAAAAAAAACTAAATTATTTAATATATATGAGAAAAAGAAAAAAAAACAAACAAACTAACCATATAATAAATCAATCAAAATAATTATTTAAATTAAACTTTAGATTTATTTTAACCATTTCCCATATAAAATCTTAACTCCTTAAAGTTTTTCAACTCAAACCCATTTTCTAGTCCCAAAATATGACATAAATCTATAGTTTAGATCAAAAAAATATTCTAATCAATGTAAATCTCCACTAAAAATTCATCATTTTCCTTAATATTCTTTTATAGGAAATTCTCCCCTTTTAAAATTTATAAATTATGCATTTTTCCTTATCCATTATAAAAAAAAACCCCACACCAATTATGCCCCCAAGTAGTATCTTTTTTATTTTCAGTAGTTAATCCCATATAGAGATATTTAGAAATATTATTATCTAAAAATTTTATACTGAATGAGTATTTTTCCTTATTTTTTAAAATATTCTCATTATATAATACTCCTGGTTTATTTATAAAACTTATTATTTAAGTATTCTCTTCATTATTTAAAATATCTATTTCTTTAGAATCTTTATATAAACCCTGTTTAAGTAGATTTTTTAAATTATTAGAAGGATTTTCAATTGGATTAAGGTACTTTATTAATAAATATTCGATTTCTTTTTAAATTAAGGTTAGAAAGTCACGATCTTTTTGGACTTTAGAGTACGTATTTTGCACGTTTAAATTCTTTTTTTTAATATTTTCTTCGTTTTGGTTGAAGTTAGTGGTTATTAGGGACATTAACATGTGTATTTTTTCACTTTTTTGAGTAATTGTATCCTCTAAGTTTAATAAAACGTCCTTTATTTAATTAAAAGGGAAAAAAGAATAAAGTTTTTCGAGTTAAATCAATGAATAAACCTCATATTAATTAACATTGGCGATAAATTATTACTAATATTAATCTAATTTTTCTTAAATATTTTATTTAATTAAAGAAATATTTTCATTTATTTAATTAATGTAATTTTACTTTTATTTTTATATCTATTCGAAACTTAATTCTTATTTTTTTATTTTTATTTTAGATTCTTAAAAAAACATAGGAATATACTATTATTATTATTATTATGTATTATTTAATATATCTCCTATATAATAAAAATTCTCTTTTTAAGTTTAAGGAGAAAATAACATACATTTAATACAAGAAAGAACATTTTAAGGAGATGTTTGGTAATGAAAATTTATTAGTTCTATTTTTAATTAATGTTTTTCACATATTAAATTGGAAGAAAGATTTTACATATTATTTTTTTATATTGATATTTAATAAGTAATAAAATTAATATGATTATAAAGAAATATATATTTTATTTTAATTTTTTTTATAATAATTATTATATATATATATATAATTTTTTTTTTTCATATTTTTCTTTTTTATAAAATTTCTATTATTTCTTTTACATAAATCTTATTTATTTTAAATAAAAATATTATATATATATATATATATATATTTTATTTTTATTTTATTACTTTATCTTAATGATTAGGAATATATTCATTAATTTATTTAAATTTTTTAAATTGATTTAATGAAATTTATTAATTTTCTTCAAAATTATTAATTAATTTTTCAAGATTTATTATATTTGTTTATTATTAACTTTAAAATAACAAAATAATAAATTCTTTTGATATATATATATATATATATATTTATTAATTTATTTTGATATTTTTATTACTTTAAATATTTATTTTTCCATAATTATTTTCATCTAATTTTTCAAAAATACCCGGAATTAAATCTTCAAAAAATAATTTATTTTTAACAAATACTTCTTTACAAACTTTTTTTTTTTTTTCCCGTTTAAAAATATTTATTTATAAAGAAAAAAATTTACTTAAAAATAAATCGTTTTTTTCAATAAATAAATCTTCATTATTTATTTTTTAATATTTTTATATTAATTCATATTTTTATTATTCAAATAAACCTTCTTTTTCAATATATTATTATATTTAATTAATTAATTTATTCTTCTATTAATATTTCTATAAATTTTCGAATACTTTTTAATTTAATAGATACTCACTTTTATTTATAAACCATTTATCTTCTTATATTTTTTACAAAGAAATAGATTTATTTAACATTTTTGTTATTAAATTTTTTATTTCTGAACTTATTTTATTCCATATTTCATCTTAAAATAATTATGTATTTTTATTTAATATTTTTTTGTTTTTACCTTCAAAATTAAAACTAAACTCTTCAGGATTTTAATTTATTTATTAAATATCTTCTATATCATATGGAAAAAATCCACTTAAAGTAATATAAAATAAAACTCCACAAGAAAATATAATATTTTTTTCCTTTTTTTATATAGTCTTTTTAATAAGAAAATTTATTTTTATAAAAATACATTTTAAATATCCTCATTTTCATTTATAAAATCAAATCCAGGTTTTAATTTTAAATAAGAATTTTAATTTTTCGAATAAAACAAAACATTTTCAGGTTTTAATTGTCTTATATTTTAATTTTAATAAAAACTTTTAAATATTTTAATTACGTTAAAAAAATTCTATTTTAATATAAAATTTAAATAGCTGAAACGATTTATTTAAATAATTCAGAAACTTAATATTATTTAATAATAAAATAAAAAAAATTAAATATTAAAAAAAAACTTTAATTTTCTTAGACTAAATTCATTTATTAATATTAATCTAAAAATTCTCCTCCATTGCAATATCTTTTTTTATTATAAAAATAATATATATATATATGTATATATATATATATTTATATATATAATGTATTTGTTTTTTTATTATATATTTTATATACTCCATAATTATGTAGTAATTAAATTCGTCTTATAATAGTTCATATATATGAATAATATTTGTATGATTTATTTGTTTAAAAGTATATATTTTTTCAAAGAAATTATCATTTATCATAGGATTATTTTTTTTATTAATTTTAATATTCTTAAAAGACCTTTCTTATTAAACATAATATTATATTTTATTTATTATATAAATATTTACCCGAATAATTTTATTCTATTAATAAAACACTTCCATAAATATCTTTTTTACATATATATATATGTAAATGTCATTAAATTAAATAAAATATACTTTCTTATAATTCTTCTAAGAAAATATATTCACTTTAAATAGATCCTTTTTTTATTTTTGTGAATATTTCAGGTCCTATTTTTTTCTAAAGAATTTATAATCTATGCTATTCTTATACATTTTCATTTTTTTCTTTTTCCATAATTTGTTTTTAAAGATTTTTTTGACTTTTAGTTTATGGTTTTCCTGTAGTACAACCCATTTTATTATTAAAATATAGTTATTTTTTATATTTTTATTAATAAAAAATAATGAATATATAAATAATTTATTTGTTAAATAATAAAAGAAAAATTAATTTAAATAATTAATTTTTTTTTAAAAAAATATAAATAAAGACTATATAAAATAAATATATTAAATATTTTTTTTTCAATAATTTTTCTATATTAATTATTTATATAATATTTTCCTTAATATATTAAAGTTTTTTTTCTTTATTTTTATACTTTATTTCTTACATAATTATTTTTTCCCTTTTAAATGATTAAACCAAGAAATTAATATAATGTAGTTATTATATATTATTATATTGAATTTTTTTATTTTTAAAAAAGTTTAATTTGTATGATATATAATGTTTTATTCTTTAATATTTTTATTTTATTAATGATTTATGTTTAATATATTGATATATACCTATTTTTAAGTATAAATCCCTATATTTTTTTTTATTGTATTTTAATTTTATTTAATATAGAATTAAATTTCAATGAATATATTTTTTTTAGTATTCTGATGATTTATCTTGCTTTTTATATGGCATTTATTAATATTATTTTTAAAAAAAGTATAAGAAGTTTTATTTCTATTAAGAAGAAATAAGTCTAAATAAATTTTTTATTTACATATAAATAAAATTTTGTGACTTTTTTATTGTTTTAAAATTTTCTTATTTTTATATGAGAAATCTTTAAAAATTTCATGTTTTTTAATTATTATTGAATTATATTTTTTTGTTTATTTTTGTTAAATTAAAAAGACTTAAAAAAAGTTTGAAAATAAAATAAAAAAACAATAAAAGAATTCGAATTTCAGTATAAAAAACATATTTTCTTATTTTTAATAATGTTTCTTCATATGATTCTCTAAAATTTAAGGCTTATATTTTTGCAATTCAATATTTTTACTAATTAAGTATTTTAGATTTTATTGAATTTTCCAAAACTATAATTATTTATAGAAATATCCCTTTTGCTTATGTCAAAATAATAAATATAGTGTTTTCTTAAGTTTTTATTAGTTTAAAGTTTTTATTTTTTTCAGTTTTTTATTCATTTTTTTTCTCCTAATATATTTCTAAATTTTTATATTTTTAAACTTTATTGAATTTTTCCTCCATTATTTTTTATTATTTATTAGAAAATTAATGTAAATTGAGTCTAAAGAACATTTTTTAGGTTTACTATTACCTATATATTAATGAAGTGTATTGAATTTAATAATATTTTATAGACTAATTTTATTATAATCGTCTTTATTAATTAAAATGTTTAATATTTTTTGAAAAATAAAATAAAATAAAGTTTGTTTTATAAAAGATCTTATAATTAGTTTAAATTTTCATTTTAATTTTTTAATATAAAAATGACTTTTTTTTGTTTTCTCATTTTTTTTATAATAAATATAAAAATAAATTACAATATTTTTTTATTTTATTTTTAATAACTAAAAAAATAATCTAAAACATATATACTGATATTATATTAAAAATTCAAACATCTTCTCTTGAATAAAATTCGTTAAATAGTCTATAAATATACGCAGGTGTATGTTCTCCATAATTAGTAATATATAAACTGATATATTCAGGTGCTATATAGTCCAATTTAGTAGAAATAATAGTTTAATTATTTGAATATTCGATATTTCCTTAATATACATTAAATGGATTTTAAATATCGTTATATGTATTTTATTCAAAAGGGAATAAAGGAGTTAATTTTATTGCAGAAGATAAAATAATAACAGGCACAGAATAAGCTTTAGCAGCTGAAGAAATCATGAAAATTCCTGTTTTTCCCAAAATACCTCCATTTTTCATAATAGCATGTGCACCTTTTAAATATTTTTTTTTAAAATATATATATATAAACATATATACCCAAAAATATCTTATTAACTCTAGACATAAAAGCGTAAATAGACGAAAAAGGTGCTAAGAAAGTCGTAATTCCACCTTCTCTTTATAATTCAGAAGCCATTTTTTATCCATTAGTTGAATTTTCTTATTCGAAAACAATAACTTCAAAATCTCTTTATTTTTTAGCATTTATTAAAAATACTTTTACTGTATAAGAATATCCATAAGTAATAATAACTTCATTTGAATTTATATGTGTAGCTGACTAATAAATATATATATATATATATATATATATATATATATATATATATATCTAAATATATTTATTTTGTATTTTTAAAAAATTAAATTTTACATATTAACTTATTGTTTAAGGTAAATCTTGTAATTCTTCTATTAAATTATTGACACCTTCAATAAATTGATTTGTTTTAACTTAAAATTCTTTTATATCTTCTAAATGAGTAATATTTAAACTTTCTTCATCTTTTTCGAATATTTTTTTTAAATTAGAAAATCCTTTTTGTTTTTTTTTATCTGTTTATTCATTTATTTCATTTATTATTGTTAAAACTTTCCTTATTAAATTTTCAACTGAAAAATCTAAATTATTTTCCTCCATTATTAGTTTTCCAACTTTTTTTATTGCCTTTTTTAATTCTTGCACATTTTGGTATTTATTTGAATTTATTATGTCTTTTATTACATTGGCAGTTTCTGTTGCTAATTAATACGAACCTTTTTTTGTTTTATTTTTATAATAAAAGAATAAAAAACAATAATTTTTTTTTACTTTTATATTCCCTAAATGGATTTATTAATTTTTTCATTTTTTTTTATGTTAATATTTTAAATATCTTTTTATTTATTTTTAATATAAAATTATTTTAATTTTTTTTGTTTTTTGATAACTAATATTTTTTTGTTTTATTTTAATATTATTAAAGAAATAATGAATTTTTTATATTATATTATTAAATACATTATTAATACATATGTATTTTTATTTTATAAAAGAAATTAAACTTATATAGTATATTTCTAAAAAGATCAAGTTTATTTATTTATTTTAATAAGATAAAACTACACAAATAATTACATTTGGAATAAAGTAAGTAGTTAAATTAATATAAAAAATTTTGGTTTAAATAATTTAACAAAATCAATAGAAATCAATAATTAAGTAAATAGTAAGTTATTAATTTTTTATAAATAAAATAAAAAGTATAAAATTATTTAAAAACCAAAAAAAAAACAATGAATATTAAAAAAAACTAACTTTTAATATTTATAATATTATATTTAGTAAATATATCAAAATGTGCAATAAAAGATATGTATTGTGGTGATGATAATTGCTATGAAATATTAAAAGTAGATAGGTTTACTATTTAATATTTTAATAATATAATTAAAATTTATATATATATATATAGAAATTCATCAATTGAAGAAATTAAAAAATCGTATAGAAAATTATCAAGATAATATCATCCGGATAAATCTATTCATAGAGGAGAAGATACTAAATTAATTTATTAGTAAAAATAATAAAAAATTAAATATTAAATAAAAAAATAATAGAAAAATAGTAAGAGCTTATGAAATTTTAAAAAGTTAAGATTTAAGAAGTAGTTATGATGGATTTTTGAAAAATCCAAATCAAAGTGAATATTATCATTATTATAATTATTATAAAGCTGTTTATACACCATAAACTAACCCATTTGTAGTTTTATTTGCAACTGCGGTATTTTTTTCTGGTATTTAGTATTTAGCACGTATAAGTATGCATGAATCTGCTATTAATTAGTTTTAATAATCTGAAAGATTTAAAAAAATGGTTAATTAAAGGTTACAAGAGGAAGATAATAGAGTAAATTTAAAGATATTTTTTTATGAAATATTTTTATTTTTAAGAAGTCTAAACAAGAAATAATTGATGAATTAAAAAAAGATATAAATATTCAAGGCGGATATTCCAAATTAAAGATCTAAGAAATTTTTATTATAAGAATAATTTTATTACCTTATACAATTTATAAATATATATATTCTTTTATAAGGTTAATAAATGAAAAATTTAAATAAATTTGTTTTTATAAAAAATATAGATGGAATTATAAATATAGAGTTAAAAAATAATAATATACTAATGAAGACCAAATAATTATGACTAGATATATTTTACAGATTAGTGAATCTAAATGGAATGTAAATTTTTTTATCTTTAAAAAATAAAAATTATAAAAAATAAAATATATAAATAAAAAATAAGTTAATAGAAGATGAAAAAAAATAAGAATTAACTGAAAGATAATTATGGATTCCGTAAAAATATAAAGAATATAGAGAAGAAATGATGGAATAAGCTAGAATTTAGAGAGAATAATTTCTTTAAACAGCAAAAGGAAAAAAATATGCTAGATATATGAAAAATTATAAATGATTATTTTAATTATTTATTATTATAGAAAAAAAAAAATTTAATTTAATTTTGATAAATATAATTTAAATTAAATATATATATATATATATATATATATATATATATATATATATATATATATATATATCAATAAATAAATACACATTTATACAAATTTTATATAATCTAGTAAATTTTTAACTTTTTTTTATATTAAAATAACATCATTAATAATTTACTTTTTAAAGCTGTATAAAGAAATACTGCATAATTATCAAATTTATTATAATTTATATAAATATTCTTTTTAAATTTATATAAGATTTATTATAATCTTTTTCATATTTTTTATTTATTTTTAAATTATTATAATTTACTTTTTTCATAATAATTTTACTTAACATATTTTTATTAAGTTTTACCTCTAGTTAAATTAATAACTTTTAGAAAAGATTTATATTATTTGTTTTAAATATTTAAACTTTTTTATATTTAAATTTTTTTATATAAAAAGTTAATTATTATCGTTTTTATTTTATTTATTGTATTTTTTTGTATTCTTAAACTTTATCTTATATTTTAAATGCTGCTTTTTTTGTTTTATATTATTATTTATTATTGCTAAATTTTATATTTTTATCAACTTTTTCATCTATTTATATTTTATTTAATTAATTGCCGAGCTTTTTTGAATTTTATATAAATAAAATTCAATTTTTTTTTTTTTTTTTACATATTTTTAATTCTAAACAAATTATTTATTAAAAATATTGTATGCTAAAAATATTTTTATTAAAAAAAAAATCTTTTATTTAAAAAAAAATGTTAAAATAATTACTTAAATATTCTTTCTCTAAAAAATAACCAGTAAAGTAAACACCTTCCTAACCCAAAAATCAATTAAATTTTGGAAGACCAGGTAATACATTAAAAATGGGAATCGTAGGAATGGCAAATGTAGGTAAATCATTAACTTTTAATTTACTTTGTAAATAAAATGTTCCTTCAGATAATTTTCCTTTTTGTACAATTGATCCTAATACAGCGATAGTAAAAGTTCCTGATTAAAGATTTTAATATTTAGCAGATATTTTTAAACCTTAAAGTTAAATACCTTCTACTTTATAAATTACTGATATTGCAGGATTAGTTAAAGGAGCATCTGAGGGTATTTTTATAAAAAAAATTATTAAAAAATTATAAATAAAAAAGGACATGGATTAGGAAATGAATTCTTATCACATATTCAAGAAATAGATGGAATTTATTAAGTATTTTTTTTTTAAAAAAATATATATAATTATAAATCTATATATTTTTTAATAGGTAGTAAGAGCTTTTGAAGGAGAAAATATATTACATACAGAAGGAAATATGGATCCTTTAAGAGATTTAGAGATTATAAGTTAAGAATTAATAGCGAAGGATTTATAAATAGTAGAGAAGAAAATAGGATAAATATCAACTAAAGCCCAAAGAAGTGGAAATGCGGAATTAAAATAATAATTATTAGTATTAGAAAAATCGAAAAATCATTTATAGAATAAAAGAGTAAAATTATATTTATTTATTTATTTTATTTAAATTCATAAATAAAGTGGTTAAGATTTTAATAATGGAGTGATAAAGAAATAGAAGAATTAAATAAAATATTACTTTTAAGCACAAAACCTGTTTCTTATTTAATAAATATAAGCAAAAAGGATTATTTAGAAAATAATTGCAAATTTATCCCAGAAATCAAATAATGGGTAACAGAAAAAGGAGGAGATAGTTAAGTTATTTAGTATTCGGCTTGTTTTGAATAAGAAATTTAAGATAAAACTGAATTTCAAGATAAATCTTAAATTCCAAAAATTATTCTTAATGGATATTCTTTATTAAATATGCATCATTTTTATACTGTAGGAACTGATGAAGTAAGAGCTTGGACTATAAGAAAAAATATTGTAGCTCCAAAAGTAAAATAATATATATATATATATATATATATATATATATATATATATATATATATATATATATATATATATATATATATATATATTGTTTTAAATATTATTTATTATTATTATATTTTTTTTTAGGCTGCTAGTGCCATACATACTGATTTTGAAAAAGGATTTATTAGTGCGGAAGTAATTTCTTATAAAGATTTCGAAAAACTAGGTAATTAAGCATTTGATAAATTCGCAAAGAAAATGAATAAATAAGGAAAGGATTATATTGTTTAAGATGGAGATATTATTCATTTTAAATGCAAAATAGTTAAATGATTATATAAATATATAATAAATATAAATTAATTATATGTATTTATTTATTTTAACTTTAATTTATATATTGTATTTATTTTTTATTTTATTTTTGGTATTTTAAACTTTTAAAATCTATTTTTTTTTTAATTTATAAAATTAATTATGTAGAAATATATTAATTTAATTCATTTATTTTGATTATCTTCAAGAATTAACTCAGCTTTAGATTTAATTGGATAAATTTGAGAGAAAATTATATAGTTTAATAATTAATATTTGGAAGAAAATGATAATGTAATATAAAAAGTATATACTAAAAAATGAAAGCTATATTTATTTATTTTTATACATAAAAATGCGTTAAATATAATAATTTATTAGAACAAATAAATAAAAAAAGTTAATAAAAGATAATATTATATATAATTAAAATACATTGTTTATTAATACGTTATAAAATAATCCAATATATAAATATCAAAAAGCTAAAAAGAAAACAAAAAATGGCAATTTTAGTAAAGCAATAACATTTAAATAGCTTTAAAATAAAATTGGAAATTAAAAATAACTAAAAAGCTATATATTTAAACCGAATATATATTTTTATATATAAAAAAGATTAAAATAACTATTTATTCTTTAGCAAAAAAACATGAAAATATAAACGTTTAAAAATTATATATGTATCCATAAAAAGAATTTATTAAAAACCCAAAACCATAATAAATACGTAATATATACAGTTATAAATATCTATATAATAATAGAAATAATATGATAATATTATTATTTTTATTTTTTTTCTATTATGGATATAGTTTTATAAAACAAAAAAAGTAAAACAAGAATATAACAATGGTATAAAATTAAATATAAACTAGTATACATTATTAAATTTATTACTACTAATAACAAAAATAAACATAAGTTTATTCCTAACTTAAAATTAATTTATTTCATTTAATTTAAAAATTAATATAATAATGCTACTTATGTCCTAGAATATAATAAATTTACTTTTTTTATTACTTTTTATAAATATTCACTGCGGTTAATGGAGTTTTTTTCTGGCTGAATACATTGGGGGGGGGGGAGAGAATGAATATTGTATTAAAAATTCTTAAAATATTTTCAAAAGATATTTACTTTTAGACTTTTTATTTTTAAAAATAAGCCAAATACAAATACACTATATAAATAAGAATTAAATTTTAAATATAGGAACTTAGTTTTGACACTTATGATATATTATTTGCTGAATTTTAATTAACTATTTTCATTATTATGGGAAGAAATTCCATTTTTTTA